ATCAGGCATAATTTACGGGAGAATACTTTTTCGCGCAAAAATTTCGGAAAATACATTTGCTTCGTTATTATACATTCTGGAGCATTCGCGACGACATGCAGTTATGATTACTCTTCGCAGATTTTCTAATATCAGGTGGAGTACAACAAAGATCATGTATAACAGACCTTGCATGTTTAATCAATATCTCTGTACGTACCTGGACAAGCAAAAACAAGTCGATGTTGTTTATTTAAACTTTCAAAAAGCCTTCGATCAAATAGACCATTATGTTCTTCTCAGCAAATTGACAAAATTGGGACTCTCTAACTCTCTAATCAACTCTTACTCTGATTAAATAATATCCAGTTAACAGAAAACAATTCGTCGAATATGAATCTTTCAAATCGGCTCAGTACGTTACATCTGGGGTACCACAAGGTTCTATTCTTGTACCTCTTTTATTTTTAATTTTTATTAATGATTTGACATCCTCTTTGAATATTCCTAGCCTACTATTTGCAGACGACCTGAAACTATATTATAAAATCAACGACATTACTGACTGGCCAACCTGTACAACATGAATTAGATGTAATCAAACTTTGGTGTAATAATAATCGTCTACAACTGAACGTATCCAAATGTAAAACAGTATCATTCACAACAAAAAATCGAACTTTAATGTACGAACGATTATTCAATCAACATGAGATAAAAGATCTTGGTACAACATACGATAGTAAATTAACATTTACAACACATATAAGGAATATGACTGCTGATGCGAATGGGATGCTTGGATTCATTTACAGAAATGGCATAAACTTTAGAAGTATTGCCACCTTAAAATTGGTATATTTTGCGTATACCAGATATAAGTCAGAGTATGGCTCTGTGTTATGGAATCCAGTTTACGACTACCAAAAAACATCAATTGAGAGCGTGAAATGGAAGTTCCTAAAATACTTATGTCTAAAAATTGATGGACAATACCCCACGATAGGCATCGATCATAACATTTTGTTGACACGATTTGATATGACATATCTGGTGTAAAATTCCTGCATAAATTATTAAATAACAATATTGACAGTACGGTTCTTTTACCCGAGATCAATTTTTTAGTAACAAGAAGCGAAGGTCGACACAATCTGAAATTCTATTGCGAAGCATCACGCACAAATGTTATGCTACGATCACCATTGAATTTTATGTGCAGTAGCTTCAATAAAATCTGTGAACATTGCGATATTCATTTCGACTCTGTGAACGCCTTGGTATCATGTATCCACAATCACTTTCAATAATACTATAAATAATATTTGTGTTAGTACTGCTACATTGCATGATTTGTAACTTTTTGTGTTATATACTCAAATTTTGATTCTTCTTTTGAAATTCTACGTGTACGAATATTTTATATATACTTCGTTTTAGCATTTACTTTTATACATTTCTATATTCTATTTTATTTAATATTTATTTCATTTATACTCTGTAATAATAGCATTTCCTGTAACTGGTTACTCCTGTTCGAAATAAATCGATTTTTTTTAATACAATTCTGTTTGTATGTGTTACTTCAAAAAATCCAGCAATATCGAAACTTGTCGTTTAAATGACTTTGCACATATTTCAGGTAATTTGAGGAAGCATATTCTTAAGACATCATTTCCTCTTCAATATATGCAGGATCATTCTCTATGATGTTGGTGAGAATTCTTCCAGGGAGTAAACAGGAGCCAGAAGAGATTTTCCAAAAATATCAACCCATACGTTCAACTTTGAAAGCTTTGTGTGTGTACCGCGTAAATAACCCGGAATATCTATAGACCAAATAACGAAAATTGTGGCGAGTATTTTCACCGTTAAAAAAGAAATTACACCCGTCCGAAAAATGCATGCGTGCAATCATCATTCAAACGTGATAGGGCATTGGGCATTGCATTAGGCTTACTATCCATATTAATCTCGAATTCGTTCGAAATACTGTACAAACGATGTACGTACCACATTAGAATTGCGCGATTCTCACGTGGAAACTAGTGTGGATGGAATATCCTATTTCTCACATACTTCAACCAAATACCCCACAAAATTAAGAAATTCCCCAAATTTTCTTAATTATGTGTTGTTCATCTCAAAATCGTTCCAGTCTCCTATATTTCATATTATTCCCCTGAATAACCCGAAAGTTATAAAATTCAGAAAATTTTCTGTTTTGTCTAAAGTTACTTCTACTATCCATTGCAATTAGTCGCAATACTGCTACCTTTATAGCAAGGGTAGGTGGAGGCTGGCATTTGGATTTCTGTGATTGATATGTATTTATGCCTAAAAATAATCGTAGCATTCAATGATATAGATTCAAGAAATCCTTCGATTCCACACTCATTATTTTTAAAATAAATAATCAGTTATTGTCGTTCTTTCCGGAGTTGAGTTCCCCATAACAGGTTAATATAGATTATAAAAGGTTGAAAAACAATTTCACCGACTCAACAACAATTAAGAAGACAGTCTATGTCTATCTTACACTCGGTTCTTGCTGGACACAAAAAAACTGCAAATTGTTTCGAAGGCATTCATCTTCAATATTCAGATTAACGCAATAGGTTTTTCTCACTCTGAAAAGGTTGTATTCAAAGCCACAATGTTGAAGGATTTGTGAAAAATCTTGGAGAATAGGACCCAAACAAATCCATGGGGTATATGTGATGATTGTCAAACGAATGATCACAAACGGAGCAACTGCCTGGTGACCAGAAGCTTTGCAGCAAACGACTCACGGTCACTGCCAGTGTCATCATCATCACACCATCAGTGGTCATGGAAATCCTTCCTTCGATATATTTCTTAAGACAGATGCTAGCGCACTGACACTGGGAATGACCACCGACTTAATATGGACTACGACCTGCCATTGAATTATATCTGGAAGGAGGAAATATCAAAAGTAGGTATTTGATGGATCACAGATGGATAACAACACCTTCAGGTTTTGGTGCAGGTGTATGTAGATTCAGAATAGAGACAACAACCTACCTAGGAACCTATGCAACTGTATTTCAAGCGGAAATTTACGCCATTGATTTGTGTATGGAAAGGCTAGCAAAATCAATCTCACAACACAGATAAATGAACTAGATTCCTGGCCACACTGGCCGGGAAAATGACAAACCTGTTGAGGGTGGGCGATGCAAGCGGTTTCACAGAAACAGAACCTATTGGCATCATTCTAGACTTTACCATACAAACACTAAATATTTGAACTGCAAGAATAGTTTTACACTTCTACCAGGAATGACATTTCAAGACATTTATACATCCTTCGAATATGTTGCCAAATATTTGTTGGATTACAGCAGGGGTGATCTATATTGTCTACTTATAAGCCACTTTCGCCTGAATCATCATATATAGTTGAACTATTTGAAAGCAGTGTGTGTTCTCTGTTTGGAAAATAACGAGCACATATTCGATGTCTGTCCCACCACGGACATAATTAGGTTTTCAGTGTGGGCATCTGATCTGAAATATCACTAACCAATGCATTCGTTGAGAAGTTGGACTTATTTGACCAAGCTATAATAGCTGTGAGCCACAATAAATCTTCGCAAGCTGCGAGAGAAGGTCGGATAGACTCACACACCTCATACGTACCTACCATATCTTCTGTAGAAGTGAACCGATTTTTAAAAATAAAGCAGCAGTTGATGAAGAATCAAAAGTCCTTTTCAATGAGGTATCATCGCATTCAAAAACTTTCGAAAGAAATGCGCTTAGGAGTGTTGAAGGTTTTGTTTGTGATGGTATTTAGGTCAAAACTTACCTTCCTTTTGAATAGTAAGCATGTGATTCTTTGATACTTTGTTGTTCATGAGGTGGCAACAGCTGATGAATGAAAAAATAGATTGTGACAGATCTATTGCTTACTTGTGCACTTTGTTCAGTAGCCATTTAATTTCCAGAAAGTCTTACATGTCCTGGCACCTAGATGAGAGTACGTCTATACTAGTTTTTGTATTCATCAGACCAAACCTATGCCATTTTTGATTCCCGATCAGTCTGATAGTTTGCTAATATTTCTATAAACGTTGATTTCGCTTGAACATAAAAGGTCGCCTTGAAAAAAAATCTAATTTGAAGTTGGTTTTGGGTAATTCTCAGATTGGCGGGTCTCTCAGTTAGTTGTGACTCTAGGTTTATTCAATTCTTGTTCTTAGTCTTCAGCTCTGACGGTTAGAGATCTAGCAATCGTTGGCTTTCGTAAGTAAGTCATCGGCATATGTGAGTTCACGTTTGCTTCTTCTTATGTGAAGTGGCCCAACAGACCCTAGGCCATGACGTTAGTCCTAAGCGGTGAAATGTGTTCAAAGGCTTACACAGAGATCAGTCATGTTTTCAGATGAAATATGAATCTCACTGATAATAGCTGGAATAGTATGTAGAGAGAACTCTTAACAGGTGCTCGGCTTGCGCATACTCATGTTGTGAGAGTAGTATGTAATCGGATAGCATTGTGAACTAGGAACATTTAGAAAACAATAACGGTCGATAGGTTATGAGAGATATTTCAATCCTCACATCTTATTATGGAGATTGGCTAGAGATGAATAGGTCATAGCACAGCGCTTGCCCCCATCGTACTATGTTGAATATCAACTCTAGGTGTAAAAACGTAACCTTATACGGCCGGAGTCACGATCAAAGCAAACCAAATACGAGCTAGTAGACTGTGATCGTATGGACTTGTAGTACCGAATGTTTTGTTTGCTACTGCCGTGGTATGTGAGTTGACTACGAGAACGAAAGTTAGTTGACGCTAAGACTTCAAGATACAACTTTCCTCATTGCAGTCAACACACATACCACTGATGATGTCTGCTGCAGTAGCAGACGAAACACTTGATGTTACAAGTTCCATTCCATATAATCGTGATAATTAAATAGACATAGATCAGATGACGACTGCTAACAGAAATGGTTCAAAATATGTTTTTTTTTTGTTTTTGCAGATCTTTACCCGAAATGGAGGGACTCAGTAAAGAGACAGTGTTCACATCCTGGATGGCTAAGTTCGACTGTATATTGAAAGGTGAGTTCCACTTTCAGATCATACTAGGCTAGTCTTTTCATAAAGTGGGTGAAAATAACTGCACATCAAACTAACACAAAACTCCTATGACTTCTGTCATATATGCACCCGGTGCTGTCAATAATTAGGATAATTTTGAAAGCTACTCCTCAGGAGTGTTTCTCATCACTCATTCTCCAATAATTACATTATAGTCTCCATTTGTACACACCTCAACTGGATACTTCCAGCTGATAAAGGAACCAAAACAATATTAGCCATATTAGCCATTGGCGACAATGTTTCGGTGATATTATTTCGTTTCGCGTACCAAAGTTGAAATGTAGAGAGTAAAGTTAGTCTAAAATCATACGAGACAAAAATTCTGACTTCAAGAAAATGCTATAGAATCAGGAATCATAAATTCAGGAAACAAATAGATGATGATTAGGGATGAGATCAAAGAAAGTATATATGAGAAGGGAGAATGGTCTGGATCATATGGTATTTCATCAAGGTAGTTTGAGTATACATTTGTATCTATATTCCTTTTCAAAACATAGACTGACTTTTAATGGATTCTACCAAATTCAACACATGCCTACCTTGACTGAGGAGTTTTTGATGAAAAAAATCCCTTGAGGACTAGTTGCGAAATCAACAGAAAATCGAAAAATAATAGTTATTTTGGCCACGAGAGGAAAACATGTCTGTAGGTAGTAACTCTGATGTTGTGGAATAAAAAAAATGGAGTGGATTTTGAATGGTATAATGATTGGTAAAATATACACTTACCAAATATAAAAATCAAAATTAGAATATCAAATCGACGACGTAAATAAAAAAAACTGACGGTAGCCGGTCGGTTCGACGTGGGTGCTTTGTTCACTCACTCAAATCTACCGCCGTGTTGGTCGCTGGTTCAAGCCCCAAGCTGAACGATCGATTTTCACTTGCTATCGTCCAACTCGTGTTAGGAATCACACGTTGAATGAAAATACCTCGTTAGTCCTTAGCTCGCACAAATTTCTCAACTTACGAGAGTTGTCGTTCGTAGGGGTGCGACAGCTGCTTAACGTAAAAACAGATTCTAAACAGATTTTTTTAAACATACAGTTATATGGCATGGCACTTTCCTATACCTACCCCATCCAAGAAGGAATTGCCCGGTTTTACGTACTATTGAAGGTATACTCGTAGGTGCTAAAGTTTTGACTGATAGGGATTTCTAGAAGAGTCCAGTCGGGAGCACTCCACAACAGGAATATTCTGGAATATTGTGGATGCTTTGGAAATAGTCTGGTACAGTCGAGAACCTTCTGGAACATACCAGGTCCTTGTGAAAATCTCAGAATCGTCTTGAATGTTGTGAAATGTTCTGAAACATTGTGAATCATTCGAATCCTTTTTTGTATGAGAGCGGTTACCCATTGGCAAGAATATATGAAGAAAAATCCGTCAACCTCTCATGATTCAAAGTTTTTCATCTTATTCAAACCGACCAAGACACTCTTATCAAATTCCTGAGCTGAACCTAGTACCTCTGGAACACGAGTTGATAACTAAGCCAAAGTATGTTCACAACCATCAATTTCAATTTTGAAATAGGAATGTACCTATTTACCTAGAGACAACATGAATTCAATACATTTCTTTGTCGACGACAGCACACTTGTCTCGTAATTACATTTGGATTCCAGGACATCGGCTACGGAGGCACATCTTCACCGGCAGTAGGAGGTTGATATCTTAATGAGGATCTAGAAGCGATTTCGAATTGGAGTAAAAGTAACCAGGTTCAATTCAATGCCACAAAAACCCAGGCATCGGTTTTCTCCAAAAAGATAAATGTTTCCGAACCGGATATAATGTCAAGTCAGACAATTCCGGTTTCTGCTTCGTTAAGTTTGTTGGGAATTAAAATGGACACCAATATGTCTTGGCACAATTATGTCGCTGGAATTGCAAAGGCTCAAAAGCTTAGAATGCTGTTCCGAACCAGAAAAGTGCAGATGCCTCAGCAACTTTTGATGCTTCATAAAACTCAGATCAGACCTTTTTGGAGTATTATTTTCATGTATGACGCTCCGCCCCCGAACATACCCTGAAGCTGCTGGATTCTATACAAAAAAGAGCCATCCGCCTGATTGGAGATGGGAACATTGCAACCTTGATAGTCTGGAATATCGAAGAAAGGTTGCAGATTTGTTTCTCTTCTGTAGATACTTTTACGGAAAATGTTCAAGTGACTTGGCACATTTAATTCCACCAAGAGCGGTACATATCAGAAATACGCGACGGACTGTGGCTGCTCATCATTTTGAGGTTCAACTCAGTACACCTCGAACTTCACTGTTTAAACACTACTTTCGCACAGGCCCCGCTCTAAGTGCGCCCCAAGGATTTTCCTGTAGGGCTTGTGTTTTGTCTTAAAAAAAACGCTACATTAACTACATGAAGTGAAATCAAGGCAATTGCAACCTTTCTATGGATCCTAATTATATGGTGTGGAGGGTAATACTTCAAATGAAATGATAAAGGCAACTAACGTATTCATTTGATGAGGATTAATATCATATCCCTCTGAATAGTTTCCCAATCACCACATTATATGTGACCATTATTTGAAACAATAAAAAAGACATGGTGAGCTGCCCTAAAAAGGTAGACATATGGACTTTTTTGTTGACCTATAAAAGAAAATCAAATGAAATGAATTGTTTTGTCATATCTCAATAGGTAGCAATTTATATATATATATATGTATATATATGACTAAGTCTCNAATTTACAAAATTTTTCATATTTTGTAATTATTCCGTAAATATAGTGAAACGGTCCTCGTTAACAAGCGATCAGCACGTGTAGTATACACCATATGATTTTATGAGGCCTCATCATGAAACGATTGATCTCAATCTAATCTGTCAGCCATGCCGTACTGGTCAATGACGTTTATTTCGACACCCTCAATCAACTAGAACTTCGAGGTCAATCAATCAAGTCAGTCTGCTGTTTACACCATGCGGATTCTAGATGATAGAAGAAATATCCCGTTCTCTCATGGGAAAAGGACAAAATATATCAAATGTTCGATGAGTTATTTTTGTTTCCATTCTACACCAATGTTTGTTAAAACAGGAAAGGGATTGAACGATCCAACACAGCCCCTTCGGCTATTATCACGTTTCGTAAGCGAGGCCCAATTTTCGTGAAAGCAAAGGTAGTTGAAATGAATGCCATTACAGTGAGAATTATTTACGAGAAATCCGAGAGCTCCAATTAATGCGATTGACAACAAATTCCTTATAACTGTTCCGACCGTTCATTGGAACAAAAGAGGTTTTGAAGAATTTTGACAAAGAATATTAAATTCAATCAAAGTGTTTAGTAAGCTCGGTTGGACCAATCGAATGAATTATATCCATGTGAATTTTACTTATAGTGAATGTCTTACAATGGGAACCGAGTTTTTTTTGTGGGTATCGATTATGTTGAAGTTTATATTGAATGTGGGTGTGGGTTTCTTGAACCATTTTGATCGGTGTTTCAAATACTTGTTGCCTGAAAACAACTACAACAAATAATAAAAAATGGTTATGTAGATGTGTCTTTTGTATGAATTAAAATCGATGGAAAAAAATTAGCGTTTGACGATATCGAATAAGTATTAGGTTGGGTCCAGGTTTTATATTTTGTTGTTGGTACCACTTAATTTGAGTCAATCCTTTTATCTCCATTCTTGCCCGTTAGATGGAGTCACATAGTTCAGTCTAAAATTGACCACATTCAATAAAAATTGTAAGCTGCATGGAATTACATACCATACAGTTGCCTATTGGGCATCGTCAGTACCGGGCAGGCGGTCCTCGATTGAAGACAAAATGAGAAAAAACCAAGAAAGTACTTGATAAAAATAGCTATTGAATGTTGGGTCCTTTTGTGTTTCGATTTGTATTTGTTCTTCGATAAGTAAATTATGACTTGCCAAGTTGACTTGGACCGGACTGCAACAAATTCTATATCGACCAAACCAAGAAAAAACTGATCCAAAGGTAGGACCAGCACAAAAAAGCATACATAAACCTATTAACATGTAAATCAAACCTCGCCACACACGCCATACAAAACAAACATAACTTTGCCTAATCAGAAAACATCAAACTGATAAAACAAGTCAATAAAGGAAACCGTATGAACGATCTGTTAGAACGAAAGTTAGTTGACGCTGAGACTTCGAGATACGACCTTCCTCATTGCATTCAACGCACATATCACTGATTATGTCGTCTATACTAGCGGACGAAACGCTTGATGTTACATGTTCCAGTCCATACAATCATGATAATTGAATGGACAGATGACGACTAACAGAAATGGTTCAAAATTTGTTTTTCTTTTTTTGCAGATCTTTACCCGAAATGGAAGGACTCAGTAAAGAGACAGTGTATTAACATATAAATCAAACCTCGCCACAGACGCCATACAAAACAAACATAACTTTCTCCAATCAGAAAACACCAAACTCATAAAACAAGTCAAAGAGACAGTGTATTAACATATAAATCAAACCTCGCCACAGACGCCATACAAAACAAACATAACTTTCTCCCACCAGAAAACACCAAACTCATAAAACAAGTCAATAAAGGAAACCGTATGGACATCTGGGAAAACCTAAACATCCATAAATTCAAAAGTCATAATTCATTCATCGAAGAACAAATACAAATCAAAAGACAACAATATCTAACATTCAATATACTCCACGAAACAATACACATTCCTAGAAACAATGAACCTAGACTTTCAACCATTGTTTGTTGTTTTCATTTGGTGTTTTCTATACTTTAGTTTAGTATACACTATATTTTGTTAATATTTTTATATTCATAGGACATTTATATATTTTATTTTATACTTACTTACTAGCTTTGTCAACAAGATTTTTTCTTCGGACAATAAAGTCTTATTAAAGAAAGACCAATACAAAGAATATTACCTGATGTAACCCAAGTACA